AGTTTCTCAAGGTTATATTGAAGTAATGCATTTTTGGCGTGAATACCTCATAAGCGATGTTGCGTCCCTCTTTGTGCACATCAGGAAGCACATGATGTCTATTTGTTCCATTACTGTGTGTTAACTTGATTAAGGGGATCATCTGTCAGGTTTCTCCAGAGTAAAGTTGCTATTTTTACCTCTGTGTCTGTTTAAGTTAAGCAAACTTTCACCCACTATTTTTAGCATCTGTTGTTAATTAGAAAAAATCCTTAAATTACAAAGTTAGAATATGTCAAAAGAAAAATGGTAAATTAGGCCAGGCGTGGTTGCTCATGCCTGTGATCCCAGCACTTTGGGAGGCTAAGGCAGGCGGATCACGAGGTCAGGAGTTTGAGACCAGCCTGGCCAACATGGTGAAACCCCATCTCTACTTAAAAAAATAAAAACTTAGCTGGGTGTGGTGGTGCACGCCTGTAATCCTAGCTACTCAGGAGGCTGAGGCGGGAGAATTGCTTGAGCCGGGGAGGTGGAGGTTGCAGTGAGCTGAGATCGCGCCACTGCACTCCAGCCTGGGTGACAGAGCGAGATTTTGTCTCAAAAAAAAAAAAAAAAAAAAAAAGAAAAAATGTAAATTATACAGTAATAGAGAAAAGTGAAGCACGATGGTGTATATAATTTTAGACCCTTTTTTCTTTGCATAAACAAATACAACATGAAGAAATGATTTCTAGGTTTTATTGAATAAATGAATTGTAATTTTTACTTGAAGTTATCTTATTTAGTATGATAAATATTACAATATTATGTCATTGTTAAGGTTTTATTGCCACTTCTAATCAAGGTTCTTCACTATTTCTGTGCTTTGGATTCCTTTGCTAATAAGGACAGAATTATTCTCAGAATGTTATTAAATGTATAAAATACCTATGATTACAAAGACAACCAATTATATCAAAATATAGTGACCAAAATATTTTTAAAATTTTTGAAATATGCTGCTTTATTTTAATGTATTTAAGAATAAAATATAGTGGTTAATAACTATAATTTTGAAGTCAAGTTGAATGTAATTGATATATTAAGGTATAACTAAGAGTGATAAAAAAATTGGGAATTTTTATTTTTGACAGTCATAGGCCCTATTAAACTAATGAAGTAAGTTGTTGCTTCCAATCAGAGTGAAAGAGAATGTTAAATTTCAGTTAGAGGTCAGTAAATATAAAGGTAATTTTAACTGTGCAGTGTCACGGACTAAAGTTCATACTGTATTTGAATGTGGCCAGGGAATTAGGTAATATGCAGGCTGTATCTTGAGGCCCCATTTCCTAGGTTAGATTTGCAACAACAGGTACATCAAGCAATTCTTTCTTACCTTCCCATGTGGTCTACTTGCTTGGTCAAAATGTACCAAATGAAATATATTTTCTACGTGTAGATGGAAAATTTGGGAGAAGTTTTAAAATCATGTGATAGTTTCATGTGAAATTGGTTAAAATTAAAATATAAGGCATATCTTTTAAATGAGTAGACTGCAAATGAGCCAATTTGTCATAACTTACCCATCATATCTAACTTTTACCTTACCCATATCCTGTTTCATTTGGTTCTATCTCATTCTTTTTCACTGAAGTTATATGTAGGCTTATTTTTCCCCGTGCCTGAAAAGGGAATATTTTAATTCTGAATTTATTCCACTAAGCTTTGTTCTTTTATATCACTAAAGGTGTGTTTATAGGATGCGTAGAAAGTTTGTGTGAAATTTAAATATGATTATTTTGATTGCTTACATATGAAGCTGAGTAAACATGGCATGAAATTATATTTCCCTTTTTGCTAATGTTCTTTCATTAATTGGTTCTTTGGTTTTTGAATGAAGCAGTGGTAGCTATGGAAGTGGCAGTATTGGAATATTCTCAGTGATTCCGATAGTACTTTCTCATTCTCTCTCTCTTTTTTTTTTTTTTTGAGACAGTCTCACTCTGTTGCTCAGGCTAGGGTGTAGTGGTGCAGTCTCAGCTAACTGCAGCCTCCGTCTCCTGGGTTCAAGTGATTCTTGTGCCTCAGCCTCCTGAGTAGCTGGGACTATAGGCATGCACCACTACATCTGTCTAATTTTAGTATTTTTAGTAGAGATGGGGTTTCACTATGTTGGCCAGGCTGGTCCGAACTCCCAACCTTGTGATCTGCCCACTTTGGCCTCCCAAAGTGTTGGGAATATAGGTGTGAGCCACTGCACCCGGCCCTCATTCCCTTTATGTAAAATTGTCAGTAGGGACTAGTTGCTTAACTCCATGTTTACTTCATGTCTTAAAACTGTTACTAATTATTTAATTATTCTTCCAATAAAATCAATGTTGAGATCACGAATCCAAGGGATAGTCTCAGTTGGTCAGTTTGAAGAATGTTTCAAATAGAAATCAAATCCATGATTTGATTAGATGGTAGAACTTAATTTATATTAGTAAAAGAATTCTTTATAGGTGCTGACATCTAGTCTTTATTACTGCAGACATCTAGTGAGAGCTGGTTTATTTTTCTGTCTTGAAAACTTGCAACATAGTGGCAGTTGTCCCGAATATTTTATAGCATTACTAATTTGTACTGTAGTTTCAGGTTTTAAACAACTTTATATTTTATCTTATTGATTTGTTTTGTTTTTGTCCCTTTTCCAGTATAGAAATTTAAGTCATCAAATAGACCTCAGGAAACAAAAACAGAGCATTCTTTTCTATTATACTTAACACATCATAGTAAAATATAATATGTTTGCAGCCATTTTTATTTTTTCCTTGTCACCATTCTTTTGCAGTTGACAAATATTTTTGAGGTAGGGCCTATCATTAAAGAATGAGTTGATTTCCACTTTGAAAAGCAAAATTGAGGGCTTCCTTTAGTTGATATTTCAGTAAATTAGGAAATAGGCAGCATAGGTAGGTTTCTTTAAATAGTATGATAATGAATATGCATTCCTGGCACATAAACAGCTATGCTTTCTTATACTTTTTGTTGCAAGCTGATAGACCTTTTACTTGATGTTGATTGTATTTTTTGTTTGTTTATTGTTTTTGCCTTCAATTTATTACCTTCATTTTCTGAAACCCTGTGGTATTTGTGACATTTTTCCATGCAGTGTATTCATTTCAGTTGTTATTTTGGCCTGATTTGTTATATTTTTAACACCTATTATTTATACTATCCATGGAATGTTTTGAAGCCTTCTTATATTTTTATATTGTATAGATGCTGGTGGGTTATGAAGACAGATTTAATTGCAACATCAGGTGGAAAATGGATACAGTTATTTTGCAACATGATTTGTGATAATTGATTTAACTTGATTATGACAGAGTTCTGCAACTACTCAAAAAGAGGATCAAAACAAGTTGCACTTGAAGGCTAGCTTTTCTGTTCTTTTTTTATTTCTACTTTTTTTTTCTTTTTGTGGAGGATGGGGACTTGCTATGTTGCCCAGGCTGTTCTTGGTTTGAAGGCTAGCTTTTCTTTTTCATTTCTACCTTTTTTTCCTTTTTGTGGAAGATGGGGTCTTGCTATGTTGCCCAGGCTGTTCTTGAACTCCTGGGTTCAATCAGTTCTCTACCAGAAGAAAAAAAAATCTCCAAAAAAAATAGCCAGGCGATTGCTTGAACCCAGGCTGGTTTCAAACTCCTGGGCTCAAGCAGTCCACCTCCCTAGGCTTCCCAGTGTGCTGGGATTACAGATGTAAGCCACATTCTGCCTTTCTTTTTTTTTTTTTTTTTTTTTTTTTTTGAGACGGAGTTTCGCTCTTGTTACCCAGGCTGGAGTGCAATGGCGCAATCTCGGCTCACCGCAACCTCCACCTCCTGGGTTCAGGCAATTCTCTTGCCTCAGCCTCCTGAGTAGCTGGGATTACAGGCACGCGCCACCATGCCCAGCTAATTTTTTGTAGTTTTTTAGTAGAGACGGGGTTTCACCATGTTGACCAGGATGGTCTCGATCTCTTGACCTCGTGATCCACCCGCCTTGGCCTCCCAAAGTGCTGGGATTACAGGCTTGAGCCACCGCGCCCGGCTACATTCTGCCTTTCATATCCTTTATCTCCTTTTTTTGTTGTTGTTATCTTGTTGGCACATATAGTCATGCATTGCTTAATGACAAGAATACATTCTGAAAAATGCATCATTAGGCAAGTTTGTTTCGTGAATGTCACAGAGTGTACTCAAATAAACCTAGATCGTATGGCCTATTGCTGTTAGGTAGGCTACAAGCCTGCACAGCATGTTACTGTACTGAATACTGTAGGCATCTGTAACACAATGGTAAGTATTTGTGTAAATATATATCTAAACATAGAAAAGGTACAGTAAAAATATGGCATTATAGTCATTGAGTGAAACGTTATTTTGCACATGACAGTATTCACTTCTGGCAGGAGGATTAACATTGTTATCTATTGATGAATTGTTAACTTCATTTAATAGCCAGAAGTCATTTTGAATGTGGTTTAAATTTTAATTCAAAAAAATTTTTGTATTTTATTGTGGTTGAATGAGATTTCAAATGTAGTTTTTAAGAGAAATTCCAGAAGTGCTTGCAACAATAGCAGCTCAGTAGAAAAAGGATTTAAAATCTTCAAATTCATTATTCACTGTACTTTTTATTATTAAGGCTTGTATTTCATAGCTCCATTTAATTTCTTCTGTCAAATGACAAAAGAAGTATATCCTCATTGTAAACAAAAAACACTGTGCCTTTCCTAAATTTTCAGGTTTTACTTACCTCTAAGTAGGGATTCTGTTAAACTAGATATAATAGAGAGAGAAACATTTTATTTTTGAAGGCTGCTTAGCTGATGATCATTGTTGTGTTTGCGCCTTAACAATTGTTGCATAGTGAATGGTTTGTATGTAGATGAAGACTCATGACTCTAAACCTGTTTAGAGATTAACAGTATTGTCTTGCAGAGACAAAAAGTGTAATGAAAAATTGGTAATAAAGTTGTGGTTTTAAAAATTACCTTTTTATGTTTCAAATTTTAGAAATACGGAAAACTGACAACTTGTACTGGTTGCCGAACACAGTGCAGGTTTTTTGATATGACTCAGTGTATAGGTCCTAATGGATATATGGAGCCATATTGTTCAACTGCTTGTATGAACAGTCACAAGACAAAATATGCAAAATCACAAAGTAAGTTTCAGATATTTGGACAGTTAAAAAAACTTTACAACATAATTACTTTTTGCAAAAATAACTTTCTTATTTAATGTTTTTATGCTTATTTTTTACAGCTTTTTATTTTATTAATCTTTTTGAAAACTTCTAATTATTTTGATTATTCTGTACTATTAATTTTTTTATTTTTTTTATTTTTTATTTTTTTATTTTTTTCTGTACTATTAATTTTAAAGTTCTCTTCATATCCATGTTCTTAACTAAAATTGTTGCTCTATCTAAAAAATTATCTAAAACTGAGAATTTTCTGTGTATCCATGTATGTTTTAGTGGCACAATATCACAGTCCTTTATGACAGTATTTTTAAGGTTAAAATAATCTTGAATATTGAAGGTGCAAATAATTTTTTTAAACAGAAACTTCTATAATCTCAGCAGTTAAGAATTTTTTTTAAGCTTTTTTATTACTTTATAAACAAATCAGATATGTACCTTTTCTCTCCTAGGTTTGGGAATTATTTGCCATTTTTGTAAGCGAAACTCTTTACCTCAATACCAAGCCACAATGCCTGATGGAAAACTGTATAACTTTTGCAATTCCAGTTGTGTGGCTAAATTTCAGGTTTGTTGTTGATTTTGCATAACCCATGTCCCCAATAAAATACACATAGAAAATAATCAGTGTAATATACTTTATTGTTGTTTTATCTTAATTTTTACATAGTTTGTTGAGGGTTAGATTGGAAGGTAGATATTCTAGTCACAGAATATGTGGCTGTACCAGTTTTCTAATTTAGCATGGATAGTCTAATTGAAATTATAATTGTTACTCTGATACATATTTTGAAGGAAAAGAAACCTCAATATAGTTTAGTTCAATGCTGATTTGTAATTTTTTCTTATTAGATGGTTTGAATAAAATGTGAACCGTAAGGGGAACTCTGTTCTGTGACAAGTGGATGGAGGACCTAGATGTATTTAGTCTAGAAAAGCAGTAAGAATACATCTTTTCTTCATATGTTAGAAATGGGCCATATAAAGCGGGAATGAGATTTCTTATAGTAGACCTTAATTTTAATACAAGATCGTTTTAGGTAGATAGAGAAAGACTTTCTGACATAGTTCTTCCAATTTGGAGTATGGATAGTTTCAGAAGATAGATTATTGGAAGCATTCAAACTTAACCTGGTTGACCACTAGGAAGGAATAATTTAGAGGGGATTCAAGCATTAGTTAGGTGGTACGATTAGGTTTACCTGTTTGTGAAAATTTCAGGGTATTACCCAAAGGTTCAAACCCCGTGCATAAAGCCATGCTTCATGAGTTAATTCATCCAACAATTCTGCTTTGTTCCAGGTACTGTGCTCTATGTTAATTTATTTAAACTGAAAATATAGTCTTTTAAGTATAATAGTTACTATATCACTTATTAGTAATTTAAATTGAAGTGGTTTTGAATTCAACCAAGTGAATGTCAATTTTTGTTAATAGTTATACTCTCATTGAGCTTAGGTGATAAACCACGTTTAAGACTTGTTATTTTAGAAGTTGAGATCATGGCCATTGATACATCCTTATAGTGGTAAATATTGCTTTTGCCTTGTTGGCTTTTCTTAAACTAGAAATTAAGGAATAATTATTAATTAGAAGAGAGGAGGACAGTGTTTGTGGCATGCTACTTGTCAGATCTTGAACTTTTTTGATGTTGGATAAACTAAACTGATAACTGAAAATGTTTTAACCACCCTTTTCATTTAATTTAAACTTGTATCACCCATGATTTGATAAGACCCTCTGTATATGTACATAGTATATTTTAAGATACAAAGTTATCCCTTGATATCCTTAGGGGATTGGTATCAGGACCTCCTGCAGATATAAAAATCCAGGGATGCCCAAATCTCTTATATAAAATGGCATAGTATTTGTATGTAACCTACAATGCTAGTCTTCCTGTGTACTTTAAATCACCTCTAGAGTCCCCTTAATATCTAATGTCATGTAAATGCTATATAGAGTTGTTATACTGTATTGTTTAGGGAAAAATGCCAAGAAGAAAATGACTGTACATGGCCACACAGATGCAACCTTTTTTTTTTTTTTTTTTTTTTTAATATTTTTGATCCTCTGTTGGTTGAATCCATGGATATGTAGGACTGACTGTACTTAATGTAGGCTCTTATTTTGAGGAATACATCCCCACAGGCACCCTCAGCACTCTGCACATAAATAATACAAAGTTGACAGAAAAGCAGCATCTTTCCCCTTATCATAAAGCAAACCATATATTTTGAACTTTATATCTTCATTAGATGTTTTTCCTTTTAAAAGTAATATAATAGGATAGTATTGCTTCTTAGTCCATTCAGGCTGCTATTACAGAATACCTTTGACTGATAGCTTATAAATAGAAATTTGTTTCTCACATTCCGGAGGTTAGTAAGTCCAAGAAAAGGCACCGGCAACTTATTGTCCTATGAAGGCCTATTCCTCATAGATGGTACCTTCTTGCTGTGTCCTCACGTGGTGAAGGTAGCAAACAAGCTCCCTCAAGCTTTCAAGCTTCTTTTATAAGAGTACTGACTGATTAGGTCATGAGGATGGAGCGCTAATGGTCTGAGAACCTCTTCAAAGCCTCTACTTCTTCTAATATTTTCACCTTGGGGTTTAGGATTTCAGTCTACGAATTTGTGGGGGAATACCAACATTCAGACTATAGCATATTCCATTTGTTTTGAAAGACCAGCTAACTTTAATGGGGTCTCAATTTTTTTTAGAAATGCTAAGGGTAATGTTGGCTTTTATTTTTTAAATTTATTCATCTGGTTTTCTTAAATCTGTATATTTTATTTTTGACAGAGTTAGTATTATACAGTGTATGCAGAAGTTTAAAAAATGGTAGTTTTTTTCTCCTTCCACTGTACATTGAATAGCTGTTTTATTAAGCATTCCATGCATTAAGATTATATGTAATATATGTGTAACATGGTTAAAAAGAATGATAATTAAATACCAGTGTCCTCGCCATTCAGGTTAGGAATTAGAAAAAAATCTGTTAATGTCCATGTATGCTAATATTGTGTCTTTTTCTGCATTTTTTTTGGAGACGAATCTCACTTTGTCCCCCAGGCTGGAGGGCAGTGGTAAGATCTTGGCTTGCTGCAACCTCCGCCTGCTGGGATTCTAGGCACCTGCCACCACACCCAGCTAATTTTTGTATTTTTAGTAGAGATGGAATTTTGCCGTTTTGGCCATGTTGGTCCTGAACTCCTGGCTTCCAGGGTTTTGCCCGCCTCGGCCTCCCAAAGTGCTGGGATTACAGGCGTGAGCTACCATGCCTGGCCTGTAAATTGTTTTAACTTTAAGAAAAGGAATACTAAAATTGCTGGTATGAACACCTGTGTGTAAATCTTTTTTCTCCTAACTGTGTAGAAGATCAATTTTTAAATGTGACATAGGGTGATTTCTTTCTTTCTTTCTTTCTTTTTTTTGAGACAAGAGTCACACTGTATTGTTGCCCAGGCTGGAATGCAGTGGTGCAATCTCCACTCACTGCAACCTCCGCTTCCCGGGTTCAAGAGATTCTTCTGCCTTTGCCTCCTGAGTAGCTGGGCCTACAGGCATGTGCCACCATGCCCAGCTAATTTTTGTATTCTTAGTAGAGATGGGGTTTCATTGTATTGGCCAGGCTGCTCTTGAACTCCTGACCTTGTGATCCGCCCACCTTGTCCTCCCAAAGTGCTGAGATTACAGATGTGAGCCATCGAGCCTGGCCTCTTTTTCTCTTTTGTTTTTTTTTGAGGTGGAGTCTCACTCTGTCACCCAGGCTGAAGTAGTTTTGTGATCTCGGCTCATTGCAGCCTCCACCTCCTGGGTTCAAGCGATTTCTCCTGCCTCAGCCTCCCAGGTAGCTGGGATTACAGGCATGTGCCACCATGCCCAGCCAATTTTTGTATTTTTAGTAGAGACAGGATTTTGCCATGTTGGCCAGGCTGGTCTCTAACTCCTGACTTCAGATGATCTGCTCGCCTTGGCCTTCCACAGTGCTAGGATTACAGGTGTGAGCCACCGTGCTTGGCCATCATACATCTATTTCACTGGTAGACTTTGAATGAAAATTATAGCAGTAATGCAGTGGCACAAAACATTAGTAAATTGGATATTTGATGGTTATTGGACATAGCCATAATAACTAGGGTTTTGTTTTTTTTTTAAACTTCTGTTCAGAACTTGGATGACTAATCTATTATTTACTTACTGTTGTTTCCTTACATTTTCTTTAAGAGAGCAGATCATGATTGAATATATGATTTTTTTTTGTTTGCTTTCTTATTTTAGGTAAAAGTAATTCTGTGGTTAAAAAAACTGAATTTCAATTTTATAAAACTAACATGTACTATTAAAATTTTTGAAGACAAAATTTGGAAATGAGTTTTATGTACTGAAAAGATAGTTAAGCAAGATGCATATTACTTTCTAGACATCGTAGATATTTCATAGTATTCACAAATAGAAATTTAAAAAATACATATCAAGCTCAGCATCTTTTGTTCTTTGTTTTAGGCTCTAAGTATGCAGTCATCTCCAAATGGCCAGTTTGTAGCGCCAAGTGATATTCAGTTGAAATGCAACTACTGCAAAAATTCTTTTTGTTCAAAACCAGAAATCCTGGAATGGGAGGCAAGTTGTGTTTTGTAATGTGTGTTACCTAGTGCTTAAAAAAAAAGTCTAGTAAAATAAGTGTTGTATTTCCATCTGGAAACCTATTTCATGGTGGATAAGAATATGCGTTTCAGGGATTTTTTTGGTGATTAGATTACTTTAATGTGGGAGTGGAAAACCAACAGAGGATCTATTTCTCTTTAGGTCCAAGAAGAATTGGTGAAATCATATTCCTGATATATTATGTTTATAATAGTGTACAGAATGTCATTTTGTTTAGCTATATACCTAGAGCAATTGTCTTTCCTTTTTTTGGTCCCGTGTTTCTTTTTGTCCTGTGTTATCTGTGAATTATATTTTCTGTCACCTAGCACCTGAACATAATAGAATTTATTAGTCATATACCACATTGTCATTTATAAAATGACACAATTCTATAATTGTGTGTGTGTGTGTGTGTGTGTGTGTGTGTGTGTGTGTGTGTGTGTTTTGTTTCTTTTCTGAGATGGAGTCTCGCTCTGTTGCCCATGCTGGAGTGCAGTGGCATGATCTTGGCCCACTGCAACCTCTGTCTCCTGGGTTCAAGTGATTTTTCCTACCTCAGCCTCCTGAGTAGCTGGGACTACGAGTGGGTGCCACCATGCTCAGCTAATTTTTGTATTTTTAGTAGAGATGGGGTTTCATCATGTTGGTGAGGCTGGTCTCGAACATTTGACCTCAAGTGATCCGCCCATCTCAGCCTCCCAAAGTGCTGGGATTTCAGGCATGAGCCACTGGGTCATAATTGTGTTTTAATAAAAGAATAGAGGCCTATGAATCCCAATACAAGTTTATTTTCTTTGCCCTTTTTTCACTAGTTTACTAATTTGCTTTGACACGTCTCAGCAACAACTCTGATTTCTTTCACAAGGGGGCAGTAATAGATAGATGGACAAGGTGGCCCAGGCTGCCCATTGCTTTCTTGAGCAATGCTTGCCTTTGGCCATTGTTTATTTTCACTCCTTTAGGGGTGGGGTGGGGTGGGAGGTAGTGTGTGGAGTATATAATACAATGGTGTACAAGATGTTGAAGATGTAGTATTAACAGATTGTTCCTGAGCCAAAATTTAGTAGCTATTGGTGAGTCATTCAGTATCTAAGTCTTAGGTGAAAGGTGGTACCTGGAACTGGATTACGTGATTTCTAAAATACTTTGGAAACCCTAAAATTTCATTTTAACAGTGTAGTAACTACAACATTTTTTAGTTTATTATTTTCATTGGTGCTGTCTCCAGATCATTTAAACCAATCCCTATTTGAGACTATTGTTGGCATCCAGTGATGATACCCTTGAAGTAACAGCAATAAGAATAAAAGCCCAGTAAGAATAAAGGAGTGATGAGGAAATGAAGAAAGAAATCCAAGCACACAAAATAATTGTGTCATATAGGAAATGAAGATCCTTCATGCACTGAATTTTGATACTAAATGAAAATGAGGTCCTTTCCACTGTATTTATGTCAGTGCTATCCCACTTTTGTAGTTATGTTGGTGTGTTGCTTTTATTTACATGGAGGTTAAGTGTTAGAAGCAGTTAAGAGACGCTGCCACACTGAATGAGAGTTGGATGTGTCCCTTGGGAGATTGAAAATTCAGGGGTCTCTTGCTTCTCACTCCATGTGGCTTCTTTGTTGCCTTCCTCCTATTATAAATTACATAGTCATAATGGGGCAACTTTCCACTAATGATGACCTTATTACTTGAGTTGATTCCTAGACTCTTTAACCTTCCTTATTCTAGTCTTCACATGTCTTTGCTGAATGTAAAGTAGATGGTTTAGACTTAGTCTGTAGCCTGCTCAATAATGAGAGAAAAACTGCCTCCCTGGAAGTTTTAACTTGTTCATACCTGCTTGGGTGGATATTTGAAAAGTAGCTCTGGCTATTGTGGGTTTGGGGCCAGGAGAAACAAATTATTACTAATCATATTCCATTTAAGAGAACCAAACTCAGTCTCAAGTTTAGCAGTACACCTTATGATGGCACTAAATTAAATACTTTACCCATGATAGATCTGTTACTATTAAGGTGTGTGATAGGACTGTGATGGAGCCTACTTGCTTATACTCAACAAATAGTTTTTCTTTTTGACTGAAAATATTATTTGTGTCATTATTTTCATCTTTTTTTAGTTTACCTATGCTGTCTTTTCCATCATTTTCTTCTCATTTCTCCAATTGGGTTAGCAATACCAGTCTACCATCTTATTTTAGTGATATTTTTACTTTCATTAAGTAATTTTAGGGTAGCTGATGGTATTGAATTTTGTGGAGCTGTGTTTAAATTTGGCAGTGAATTGGTTAAACTAGGCATCCATAGCCTGCAGGAAATTTATCCCCAAAGATCTTAACATTAAATAGGTAAATGATTTAACTTTGCTTCTGTAAAAATAGCTTGTTTATTTCTTAAGCTTGTTCTTGAGGTGGTTATCATATACTTACCAAGGTTCCCATTGTGCATTTAGAACAAAGTGCATCAGTTCTGCAGCAAAACTTGTTCAGATGACTATAAGAAGTTGCATTGCATAGTTACATATTGCGAATACTGTCAAGAGGAGAAGACTCTTCATGAAACAGTAAATTTCTCTGGCGTTAAGAGACCTTTCTGTAGTGAAGGCAAGTGTATAATATGGTGTTGTTCATAACATTTATTGATATTTAATGTTTTTGCCAAAATACTTAAATATATCCAGAGTAGGTTCACAGTTTTAATGTAGCTGAACACAAAAATGTAGTTTGCATTTCTACTGTCTTGTTTTGTTATTTTATGTGTATTTGTAGACCTCTGGGCTTCAAGATGGTTTTATCTCTAAATATTTGGTAACCTCTAATTTCATTACAGGAAAGTTTTAGATTAAAATGAAAGTATTATCATACCATATTATTTCTAAACCAACACATTGTGGTCTGAAAGTTGATTTTCCAAGTGAATTAAACTTGTTTATTATTAGCTCCATTTTCCCTGCCCAGCTTACTACCTAGCCTACAAAGCTTTTCAATATGTATACCAGAAAGAAAATCACATGTGGCAGTACTAAAATGGGAAGATACTTTTAGGTATTCAATTTGGGGTTCCAGGAAAACACTGGGTTCTGTTTTAGTATGTCCAAGAATTCCTTTTCCTCTTATCTACACTTTTGTTGCTTTGGTGCCAGGCAGCAGATTATACAGATGAATTCAAATTCTACATCTACTTATCCAGAGATAGAAACTAGAATTGTAACTGTGGGTTTTGGAGTTCTTGTTATTCCCCTTCCCAAATGTGACATTCTTGCTCTAAGCTGGTTTTCACTTTCTATTCTTTCTTTGGTCCATGGCACTGAACTCCCAGCTTTCCTGTCTGCTATCTTCACCTGTAATTTATTAATGAGGATTTTCTTTCTGGATGTGTTTTTTCTATGGATTCCTACCGCTAGCTTAGAGTAAGAGAAAGGTGGGAAAATCCTAAATATCAGCAGTAGAGAATGACAGCAAAATAAAAAGATTTATCATTTCATTCAACTAGTGCATTCATTTACAGCCTTCACATGTAATGTAAAGTCATGTCTGTAAGAAGGTGCTTCTTACAAAACAGGACATTCCTATTTAAATTTAATTTTGTACATTTCACCTGTAATGGAAAGTAACCATGTTTCACTGTTACTTAAGAGCAAAGCTATAATGAAAAATGACAAATCTTACAATGTTTCATTGAAAAGATTGATTCTGAATTAATTTACGTCTTTTTGCATTTGAGTTGTGTAATGATGTTCTTACTGATTCATAAATCTGAACATACTGATGTTGATTGCTCATATATGTCATTAATTGTCTACCATTTGGATTATATGGATTTTACTAAAATGAATAGTCAATTAGCAGCAAAATAAGTAATTGACATTCAAGAAGATAATTTTCAGTTGGAGGGATTTATAAATTCAGATGGGTAATAACACATTAAAAAAGAATGTGTATTTTTTTCCTGTTAAGTGTTATAACTTTTGATTTCTCTTACTGAACCTAGTTCTCTGCTAGAACCTGTCAGAAATAAGAAAACACAAAATACCTAGTACTACCATCAAAATCTAGTTAGATAAAGCTAATAAAGGTAAAGTTAAAAAAATTTTTTTATGCTGGACGCTGGCTCACGTGACCCTGTGATCTCAGCACTATGGGAGGCCAAGGTGGGTGGATCATGAGTTCAGGAGATTGAGACCACCCTGGCCAACATGGTGAAACCCCGTCTCTACCAAAAATACAAAAATTAGCTGGGTGTTGTGGCAGGCATCTGTAATCCCAGCTACTCAGGAGGCTGAAGCAGGAGAATCGCTTGAACCCGAGAGGCAGAGGCTGCAGTGAGCTGAGATTGTGCCACTGCACTCCGGCCTGGGCAACAGAATGAGACTCTCTATCAAAAAAATAAAACAAAATAAAAAAATTTTTAATATAGTTTAAGGTAACAGAAAAGAAGTTATAGGATACTACATAAATGATTGCTAAATAAATTATATAGAAAACAATTGTAGGTCATGTTTGCAGACAGGAAATGTCATTTTAAACAAGGTTGATGTGGGCAGCATTTGTGAAAAAGGTATAATTTGAGGTCCTTATGAAAGGATGAATAGGATTTTAGTAGATGATATTATAAGGCATTCTACTTAGCAAAGAGTATTATTTGATCCTCCTAGAGATGTTGTAGTAATCAATAAGATAGACATGTAAGTATACTTAAAATAACGCATTTATGTAGTAGAAAAAAGAAATTCTTTATTAAAGGACTAGATAACAAAAGTGTTTTCTGGGCAAATCAATAAACCTGTTTTATTTCCCTGAAGGTCCATGTATGAGACGTAAGCTTGAAACATTAGTTAAAATGCCTACTTAAGTTGAACATCTCTGTAAGTTTACTCAGAGCCTTTCAGTAATCTACATTGTTTCTTTTTCTAAAATGCCTATTTGTGGTTTGTTGACTTGTAGTCTTAAGATTCTATCTATTTCCTAGGCCCAAGCAACAGCCTATTTAAATAGAACAAATAAAATAATTCTAGATTTTAACATCTTGAAACATTATTTTAACCCACATGTTAGATAACGTATTATCTAATAAAATATCCCATATTCTGTTCTAATTTTTATAGGTTGATAGTGATTATAGTAGATTTTATAGTTTTGATCAGGAGAGGAAAAATCTTGACCAATTAAGATAGGTCTCTGCTCAAGAATTCATTTTCATGTCTTTTTTTGTTTTAATATTTAAACCTTATATTTTTCAGGCTGCAAATTATTATACAAACAGGATTTTGCAAGACGTTTAGGACTGAGATGTGTTACTTGCAACTATTGTTCTCAGCTGTGTAAGAAGGGAGCAACTAAAGAACTTGATGGTGTTGTGAGAGATTTCTGCAGTGAAGACTGCTGTAAAAAATTTCAGGATTGGTACTACAAGGCGAGTAACTACACATTTTTATTATAGCAGCTACTTTAACCAGTCTTAAGAAACGTTGTAGCTGTTACCATTACGAATATGGCAACTCATTTATTTTAAAAATGTACACACTTAAGGCCTAGCTTTGATAATATATTAAAATTGTCTCGTCAATGCTTGTTTTTTATAATTTGAATTAGCATTTTAATCTCTCTTTTTGTAACTTAAGCATTACCAAAAGATTAGGATATACCTATATTTTCAGCAATGTAGTTTAACAAAATGAGTTATTTTTAAATTTGTTGTGTCTTTTTATTTCACTAAGTAGAATTTTGTTGTTGTTGAGATGGAGTGTCTGTTGTCCAGGCTAGAGTGCAGTGGCACGACCCCGGCTTACTGCAACTTCCGCCTCCTGGGTTCAGGTGATTCTTGTGCCTCAGCCTCCCGAGTAGCTGAGATTACAGGTGTCCGCCACCACGCCTAGCTAATTTTTGTATTTTTAGTAGAGAAGGGGTTTCACCATGTTGGCCAGGTTGGTCTCAAACTCCTGACCTCAGGTGATCCTCTTGCCTCAGCCTCCCAAAATGCAGGGATTACAGGCATGAGCCACTGCACTTGGTTAAATATAAATATTTTTGATAACATTATCAGTGTGGAATGTTAGCAGGTAATTGTTTTGGTTACTTGGGATGTATTTTAAAAACATTTTCCTCTTTTTTGGCTTTTTGCCTTTTTAATTGTGAGTTTTGGGGGCCTTTCAAATTGAAAAGAATACTAAATAGAGACCAGAAACATTTAATTTGAAACTGTAAATGTGTGTATGTGTATGTGTCATATTAAAATCCACTTAAAAAATTTAACTTTTAAGTTCAGGAGTACATGTGCAGGTTTTTTATATAAATAAATTTGGGCCATGGGGGTTTGTTGTACAGATTATTTTATCATCCAGGTATTAAGCCTAGTACCCATTAGTTATTTTTCTTGATCCTTTCCCTCCTCCCACCTTCAACTCTCCCATAGGGCCCAGGGTCTGTTGTTCCCCAGAGTTTGTGTTATCATTTAGCTCCTACTTATAAGTGAGAACATGCAGTATTTGCTTTTCTGTTCCTGTGTTAGTTTGCTAAAGATAATGGCCTCCAGTTCTATCCATGTTCCTGCAGAGGACATGATCTCTCTTTTTTATGGCTGTGTAGTATTCCATGGTATATATGAATCACATTTTCTTTATCTACTCTACCCTTGGTAGGCGTTTAGGTTGACTCCATGTCTTTGCTATTGTGAATAGTGCTGCATTGAACATATGTGTACATGTATCTTTATGATAAAATGATTTATGTTCCTTTGGGTATATACCCAATAATGGGATTGCTGGGTTGAATAGTAGTTCTGTGTTTAGGTCTTTGAGGAATCATCACATTGTTTTCTATAATGGTTGAACTAATTTATATTCCCACCAACAGTGTATAGGCATTCATTTACTCTGCAACCTCACCAGCATGTTATTTTTTGATTTTTTAATAATTGCCATTCTGACTGATGTGAGATGATATCTCATTGTGGTTTTGATTTGCATTTCTGTAATGATCGATGGTGTTGAGCAGTTTTTTATATGCTTATTGGTCACATATATGTCTTCTTTTGAAAAGTGTCTGTTTATGTCTTTTGCCTACTCTTTAATGGGGTGGTTTTCTTCTTGTAAATTTATTTAAGCTCCTTACAGATGCTCAGTATTAGACCTTTGTCAGATGCATCGTTTGGAAAATTTTTCTCCCATTCTGTAGGTTGTTTACTCTGTTGATAGTTTCTTTTGCTGTGCAGAAACTCTTTAATTAAATCCCATTTGTCAGTTTTTGCTTTTGTCGTAGTTGCTTTTGGCATCTTGATCTTAGTTGGTTCCTGTGTCCAGAATGGTATTGCCTAGGTTGGCTTCAGGGGTTTTTGTAGTTTTGGGTTTTACATTTAAGTCCTTAATCCATCCTGAGTTAATTTTTGTATATGGTCTAAAGAAAAGGGGTCCAGTTTCAATCTTTTCCATATGGTTAGCCAGTTATTCCAGCACCACTTACTGAATAGAGAATCCTTTTCTCATTGCTTGTTTTTGTCAGGTTTGTTGAAGATCAGATAGTTGTAGGTGTGTGGCCTCATTTCTGGGCTCTCTATTCTGTTCCATTGGTTTATATGTCTGCTTTTGTGCCAGTACCATGCTGTTTTGGTTACTGTATCCCTGTAGTATAGTTTGAAGTCAGGTAGCATGATGCCTCCAGCTTTGTTCATTTTGCTTTTTGCTTAGGATTGCCTTGGCTATTTGGGTCCTTTTTCGGTTCCTTATGAATTTTAAAATAGTTTTTTTTTTTTTCTGCAAAAAATGTCATTGATAGTTTAATGGGAATAACATTGAATCTGTAAACGGCTTTGGGCAGTATGGCTATGTTAACAATATTCTTTTTATCCATGAGCATGTAAGATTTTTCCATTTGTTTGTGTCATCTCTGATTTCTTTGAGCAGTCTTTTGTAGTTCCCCTTGTAGAGATTTTTCACCTCCCTGATTAGCTGTATTCCTAAGTATTTTATTCATTTTGTGGCAATTTTCAATGAGACTGTGTTTCTGATTTGGCTCTTAGCTTGACTGTTGTTGGTATATAGAAAAGCTAATGATTTTTGTACATTGATTTTGTATTCTTGTTGAAATTGTTATATCAGCTGAAGGAATTTTTGGGCTGAGTCTGTGGGGTTTTTTGGATATAGGATCGTGTCATTTGTGAACAGGGAAAGTTTGACATTGTCTTTTCCTATTTGGATTCTCTTTATTTCTTTCTTTTGCCTGGTTGCTCTGGCCAGGGCTTCCAATACTGTGTTGAACAGGAGTAGGTGAGAGAGGACATCCTTGTCTTATGCCAGTTTTCAAGGGGAATGAATGCTTCCAGCTTTTGCCTATGCAGTATGTTCACTGTGGGTTTGTCCTAGGTGGCTCTTATGATTTTGCAGTATAGTCCTTCAATACCTAGTCTATTGAGAATTTTTAACATGAAGGGATGTTGGATTTTATCTAAAGTCGTTTCTGCATCTATTGAGATTTTGGCATTGATGTTCATCAAGGATATTGGCTTAAAGTTTTCTTTTCTTGTTGTGTCTCTGCCAGGTTTTGGTATCAGGATGATGATGACCTCATAGAATGAGTTAGGGAGGAGTTCCCCCTCCTCAATTTTTTAGAATAGTTTCAATAGGAATGGTACCAGCTCTTCTTTGTACATCTGGTGAAACTTTGTGAATCCATCTAGTCCTGGGCTTTTTTTGGTTGGTAGGCTATTTATTACAGATTTGGTTTCAGAGCTCATTATTGGTTTGTTCAGGGATTCAATTTCTTTCTGGCTCAGTCTTAGGAGGGTCTGTGTATCCAGGAATTTGTCCATTTCTTCTAGATTTTCTAGTTTATGTGCACAGAAGTGTTCATAATAATCTCTGGTGGTTATTGGTATTTCTGTGGGGTCAGTGGTAATATCCCCTTTATTGTATTTAATTGTGTTTATTTGGGTCTTCTCTGTTAGCCTAGCTAGCAGTCTATTTTATTAATTTTTCCAAAAAAAAAAAAAAAAGAAAAAAAAAACCTCTTGGATTTGTTAATCTTTTGAATGGTTTTTTTCATGTCTCAGTCTTCAGTTCAGCTCTGATTTTGGTTATTTATTGTCTTCTGCTAGCGTTAGGGTTGGTTTTCTCTTGGTTCTCTAGTTCTTTTAGTTGTGATGTTAGGTTGTTAAATTGAGATCTTTCTAACTTTTTGATGTGGGCATTTAGTGCTATAGATTTCCCTCTCAATGCTGTCTTAGCTATGTATCAGAAATTCTGGTATGTTGTATCTTTATTCTTCAATTGGTTTCAAAGAATTAACTGGTTAATCTCATTATTTACCTGAAAGTTGTTCAGGAACAGGTTATTCAATTTCCATGTAATTTTATGGTTTTGAGTGAATTTCTTAGTCTTGAGTTCTAATTTGATTGTACTGTGATCCAAGAGACTTTTTGTTATGATTTCAGTCCTTTTACATTTGCTGAGGAGTGATTGATATGTGATTATGTGATTGATTTTAAGAGTATGTGACAGTGAGAAGAATGTATATTCTGTTGTTTTGGGGTATCCGTTTGATTTTATGCTGAGTTCAGATCCTGAATATCTTTATTTTCTGCCTCAGTGATCTGTCTGATACTGTCACTGGGGCATTGTCCGGGAGTTTAAGTCTCTTTGTAGGTCTCTAGGAACTTCCTTTATGAATCTGGGTCCTCCTGTGTTGGGTGCATTTATATTTAGGATAGTTAGGTCTGATGGTTGAATTGAACCCTTTACCATTATGTAATGACTTTCTTTGTCCTTTTTGATCTTTGTTCGTTTAAAGTCTGTTTCGTCTGAGACAAGTCCCTGCTTTTCTCTGTTTTCCATTTGCTTGGTAGATTTTTCTCCATCTTTTTATTTTGAGCCTATGTGTATCATTGCATGTGAGATGAGTCTCTTGAGGACAGCATACTAATGGAATTTCTTTCTTTATCCAGCTTGCCACTGTGCGCCTTTTAATTGGGGCATTTAGCCCATTTATATTTAAGGTTAGTATTGATATGTGTGGGTTTGATCCTGTTATCATGATGTTAGCTGGTTATTTTGCAGACTTGTTTGTCTGGTTGCTTTATAGTGTCACTGGTCTGTGTACTTAAATGTGTTTTTGTAGTGGTTGGTAATGGTCTTTCCCTGCCATATTTAGTGCTTCTTTTAAGAGCTCTTGTAAGGCAGGTCTGGTGGTAACAAATTTCCTCAGATTTTGTGCCTGAAAAGGATCTTATTTCTCCTTTACTTATGAAGTTTAGTTTGGTGGCATACGAAATTCTGGTTGGCAAGTGGCACTAGTGTTAAAATAAATTTTAAAAAAGTAATGTTGAATATTGGCCCCCAATCTCTTCTGGCTTGTAGGGTTTCTGCTGAGACATCTGCTGTTAATCTGGTGAGTTTCCCTTTGTAGGTGACCTGACCTTTCTCT